GGTAGAATATTCTTGGTTGTAGGTTCTTCCCTTTCATCACTTTAAATATATCATGCCATTCCCCTGTGGCTTGTAGAGTTTCTGTTGAGTAATCAGCTGATAGCCTGATGGGAATTCCCTTGTATGTTATTTGTTGTTTTTCCTTTGTTGCTTTTAATATTTTATGTTTGTCTTTAATTTTTGTCAGTTTGATTACTATGTGTCTCAGTGTGTTCCTCTTTGGGTTTATCCTGCCTGGACTCTGTGCTTCCTGGATTTCATTGACTATTTCTAATTAGACATAATTATATATATAATTATAATTAATAAATATTATATATATATATAAAATATATAATTAGAGGGGTAGGAAAGACCACATGAAGAGTACTATATCTAAGTAGTTCTTAAGAATGGCCAATATAGTAGAGAGGGTATTCCTGGGGGTTATGACATGGAAATAAGCAACCAGTTGAGCTTAACTACATCAAAGAATTCCTGAGGGAGAGTAGTGAACTGAGACAAGGATAGAAAAGTGATGGTAAATTCCCTTGGAGATGGGGCTTGGGAAGTGGGGGCATATATTTTTACGTTTATTTTTCTAGTATCTAGCACAGTGGTTTGACTACTATTTGTGTAAAAAAATGGGAAGATGTAAGTATAATGAATACAGTGAACAACATGAGTTTGAACTGCACAGGTCCACTTATATGCAGATTCTTTTCACTAAATTCTTGCTGCAGTACTACATGATCCCAGTTTGCTTGAATCTGTGGGTGTGGAGCCACAGATATAGAAAGCCAACTGTAAAGTTGCACGTGAATTTTTTACTGCAAGGAGGGTCAGCACTCCTAAGCTCTCCACTGTTCCAGGGTCAGCTGTTTTATACGTTTGTTTTCATGATTTTATGAGACTGTTTTCTGATTTATAGTTTTAAACCATCATTCCTATAATAGGATAAAATTTCTATTTTCATATTTTACTTTCTTAAAAATGTAATGCCATTATATTCTGCAGTAGTATAAATAGTGTCCAGTTCTTTCTTCTGCTGTTTTCAGGTTAGCATATATGCCCTGAATAGATAGATTTAGAGTTAAAACTGGTATATTTGAAAGCAGCAATCATCGTTTCTTATTGAATAAATTTGATATGTAATGTGTAAATTTAAGGTGTATTATTTGTTGCTTTTATACATGTATATGTTGTAATGTGACTGCTGTTATATAATATTTATCAAATTATGTAATTATAGTACAACATTGTCTATATTGTGCCTTGGATCTCCATGGCTTATTTACTATGTACAAGTTTGTACCCTTATACCTCACCAATCTTATTCCCCTCCCCCATATCCCTTAGTAGCCATCATTTTACTATCTGGTTTTTACAGGTTTGACTTTTTTAAATTTCACATTTAACTGACATTCTCCAGTACTTGTCTTTCTCTGACTTATATGGCTTAATATAATATGCTCAAAGTCCATCCATATCATTGAAAATGGTATGATATCCTCCTTTATCATGGCTGAATAATATTCCATCGTGTATGGGCTTCTCAAGTAGTGGTAGTGGTAAGAACCTGCCTGCCAATGCAGGAGACATAAGAGACCCAGGTTTGATCCCTAGGTTGGGAAGATCCCCTGGAGAAGAGCATGGCAAACCAATCCAATATTCTTGCCTGGAGAATCCCATGGACAGAGGAGCCTGGGGGACTACAGTCCATAAGGTTACAAAGAGTAACCCTATGGTTACATGATCAAAGCAATTTAGTACACAGGCACTCATGCACATGTATGTATACCACATCTTTTATATCCATTCATCTGTGGATGGACTTTTGGGTTGTTTCCATATCTTGTCCATTGTGAATAATGCTGTGATAAACATAGGAGTGTATATATCTCATCAAAATCTTAATCTCTTTTTTGATGGAATTATAAAAAAATCCTAAAGGTTGGAACTGTAAGGCAGTACTATCCAATAAAACTCTCCCCTATGGTAGGAATGTTCTGTTTCTGTGCTGTCCAGTTGGTGGCCACTAGAGTCATATGTATCTATTGAGACCTTGAAACGTGGCTAGGGGGATGAAGGAACTGAATTATTAATTTTAATTAAAATTTAATTTTAATTTTAAAATTTTCATTAATTGAGATATAATTTTAAATAACATGTGGATATTGGCTACCCTATTGGAGAATGCAGTTCTAAGGCCCTCAGAGATTATCTGCACAAGATATTTTTACAAATAAAGAAACGTAGGCCTGTGGCTTAACTAGAGATTACATAGTTGTTTAAGAACAGAGCTGGGACTAAACTCTTGAGAGTCCCTTGGCCTGCAAGGAGATTAAACCTTTCAGTCTTAAAGGAAATCAACCTTAAATATTCATGGGAAGGACTGATGCTGAAGCTGAAGCCCCAATACTTTGGCCACCTAATGCAAAGAGCCGACTCATTGGAAAAGGCCCTGATGTTGGGAAAGATTAAGGGCAAGAGGAGAAGGGAGCCACAGAGGATGAGATGGTTGGATGGCATCATTGACTCAATGGACATGAGTTTGAGCAAACTCCGGGAGATAATAAAGGACGGGGAAGCCTGGAGTGCTGCAGTTGCAGAGTCAGACATGACTTAGTAACTGAACAACAGTGTAGCTAATAATTACCATATTGGGCAGCATAACTCTTAAAGAGCTTAAGTAACTTGCCCAAACGTAGACAGTAAGCTCCACAACTTGAGTTCAAAACCAAGTCGTGCCACTTGTGAGCTTATGTTTTTGCCATTATGCCATACAGCTTTATCACTGAAAGTCAAGGTGGATGGACTCTGCCCTACAGAGTAGAAAATGTAGCAAAGATATCAATACTTGGGCATTTTTCAAGGTTATACTACTGTTTTAACTTTTTAGTGAAAGTGAAACTCGCTCAGTCGTGTCCAACTCTTTGTGACTCCATGGGCTATACAGTCCGTGGAATTCTCCAGGCCAGAATACTGGAGTGGGTAGCCTTTCTCTTCTCCGGGGAATCATTCCAACCCAGGGATCGAACCGAGGTCTCCCGCATTGCAGACAGATTCTTTACCAGCTGAGCCACAAGAGAAGCCCAAGAATACTGGAGTGGGTAGCCTATACCTTCTCTAGCACATCTTTGTGACTCAGGAATTGGACAGGGGTCTCCTGCATTGCAGGCAGATTCTTTACCAACTGCACTGTAAGGGAAGCCCTGTATATTATATATATATATATAAACTGATGCTGGCAAGAATATTCTCTTCTGTAGACTAATTAGTGGCTTACACCCCAAGTTCCCAGACTGAAATATGGAAAAGTTTATATTTCAGGCTGGAAACTGTGCCTCAAGTTCCTGGGCTGAAATATGGAAAAGTTTAGGCCACTAATTTAATTAGCCTACACTCTGTAGCACTGGATTATAAAGTAATACCTGTGAAATTATTTTATAGCCTACGTATTATTTTTCCATTATGTGAAATAAAATGACTATGAATGAGAACATAGATTGTTGAATTTTTTTCAGATATTGGCATCTTCAAAAATTTTTTTCTTCTATCTAGGAAGTAAGGTCTAATCAGGTATTTTAAAAATAGCTTTAAAATATTGTAAGAATTAACATGATTCAAATAATCACTTCAGAGCTTTATTAAACTGTTTTTTCAGATATATAGGAGAACATTATTGCCAGCATCAGGTTTAATATATATATTTTTTGATACCTGGCATTATATATTGAGTGGAAATCTTGTTATTTCGTTAGTAAATACCAACTATGTATAAGAAATCAAAAGTGATGTATTTTGGGAATCCAGGACTAGATAAATTGTTCTGTGATGCTGACATATGTACTAGAGGGAAGGTTGAAGGTAGAAAAACAGTGAAAACAATTTCTTTTAATTAGTGTTGAGTCTTAATTTTACTGTATATTTTTTGAGTCTCAATCTAAATCAGAGTCATGCCTAAACAGGAAATTGCTTTACTAGTACCAGTACTTTCCTTTATTCTGCCCAGAAATTATGGAAAGATATGTCAGAAATGAAATGCAGTTACTATCACTCTTATCCGAGAACATCTGGAATCCTTTGGCTGGTGTTTCTTCCAGTTCTTGTACAACTCCACTTATGTTTAAGCCAGAGAAACCTCTTCCCTGTGGATGTCTTTTGTCAATTTCAGCAAGCCCTCCTTTCGAGTCTAAAGAATAAAGCTCTTAAAATAGTTGTTCCCTGGAAAGTTTTTCATTTAGCCTTGTTGAATGTATAATCTTTAGGAATTATTTTGATACTGGATAAACACTGGAGCACTTTGTTCTTAGAGCCAGTAATTTTTCTGCATTCTTAATTTAAATCAAGTTATATAAAAAACAAAGGTCACTTTTGGCTTTAGATCAAGCATTAAATATAATAGCTAAAAAGGAATGTATTAGTTAGGGGCATAAGATTTGTAATGGTAGGAAGTTATTTTTATAAATAATGTGATTATAAATTTTGTTTCAAAATACAACCTGAATCACCTAGTACTTCAGAAAACCCTTATTTTTTACTTTCTCCTTAGCATTATCAATTGTAATATACCATATAATTTATGTATTGTGTATATCTTCTGTCTCACTCCACTAGAATGTCAGCTCCATGAAAACAAGAATTGTTGTTTTGTTCCCAATGGGTCTGGCATATAGTAATTGCTCAGTTAATATTTGTGAACTGAGTGAATATTATAATCTATCTCACTTCACCTGTAAAATTTTATATTCACTTCTTCCTGCTAATTATTATATTACTATATTCCATATGAAGTAAGTAGTTAACAAATTGGTGAAAATAACACTCTACCATCTAGCATGAGAGAAGAACTTTAGGAATTATATCCTAAAAGGGTATGAATTGTTTGGAATGCTTGAGTATTTAATACATTTAAATGAAACCCATAGTGTTCTTGAAATGTGCCTCCCCCAAATTTATCAGGAAATAGAGGGTGGGAAACTTTTCAATTAAAAATGCGTTTTGATGTATTTTCTCAGATGGGAAAGCTGACAACCATGCCAGGAGGTCTAATATATGCATCTGTAAGTGTGCATGCAGCCAAAGAAGAGGAGTCCAAAAAGCAGCTAGTGAAACCAGAGCAGGTAACTTGCCTACAAAAGTTTGTGAATTTTGCATGACATAAATATGATGTAAAAACTGTGAGGTTGGTTTGTTTGTTAACTCTATTCATCAAAAATGTCTTTGAAATATTTGTTAGGCATGTTTTTTAAGTTGAGAGAAATAGTTACAAGATGTCTCAGAGTAAATATTGTATTATTTTTAGCCCAAACATCTAAAATACTAACTCCAATGAAAAGCAGTTTGTGATTTTTCATAATGAATAATCAATGAGTAGTGTAGGGTTTTAGTTCTTGTAAGCAGTCTAATTTTTGTTTCTGGAAAAATGTTATATAGGTGCACATGATATTTGGAAGCTTTAGTTTAAGAAATTCATTAAGATCTCAGTTTTGAAAGCAATCTTAGATGTTTTCTAATTCAGCCTTCTCTATAGTATTGTAATTCCCTCTACAATAGGCACACTAACTGGATGTTTTCTTCAATGTGAATAAAACTCTGGATAAAGGAACCTAAGGGAGTCCATTCCATTTTATGGCAGCTCTCATTCAATTTAAGGTCCTTTCTTTCATCAAACACAAACCTGTCTCATAATCATAACTTCTACCTATTGGCCCTTGCATTGATGCCATCCAGAACAATTCTCATCTCTCTTCCACAAAACAACTCTTCAAATGTCCATCACTTTATCTAGTTTTGCTTCCTGGGTAAACATATTAGTAATTTAACAATTGCTCCTGGGTCAAAGCTTTGAGTCCCTTCACTTTCACAATCTTTCTCTGCCAAACATGTTCAGGATAGCTAGTGTTTTCTTCTGGTGTAAGTATTTTGAATACTGCAAGATAAAGTCAGACTCTGACTTCTCTTGCTCGAGATTATTCATTTCTGTTTTAATACTGACTAGGCTTCCCTGGTGTCTCAGTCTAAGATCACATTTGTTTTTATATTTATTTTTGTTTTGGGTCATCACAATCAACCTTGCATAAAATCAGCTTTTGACCATGACATAAGGAATGTACTGTTCTCTAAAATTCATTAAACTTTTTTATATGGGCTACTAGTAAGCTATTAGTATACTAGTACTTTCCCAATTTGTACTTATGCATATATACATTTTAGACTTAGTTACAGGTACATTTATGTCTTTTTAACTTACATCTCATTAATCTAGTCTATCATGCCAGCCTTTTAATGTCTCATTGTAGTAACTTATTCTCTTCACCATGGTATATTTCATCTTTTCTAGCCTCAAGTTACCCTTAAGATATATCTGCATGCTTAGAAATATATATTGGAGACAAACAGGCCTAAATCTGAATCTTGACCCTGTCACTGACTGTTGGATGGCATTGGACAGAATTCTTAATAGTGGCATAAATATTCTGTTGTATTAATACATCATTATCAAATGTATATTTTTCATATATTCTGGAAATTTAGTGTATTTCCAATTATTTTGTTATTTTAATCAGTGCTTTGTTAAAACACTTTGTACCTGAATCTTTACAGTACATATGTAACTGTTTCCTTTGAATAAATCTCTAGAAATGGAATTGTAGGTGAGAAAGCATGAAAAATATCAATAAGTTGCCAAACCGACATGCATAAAGGTGGTATTTACTTATTCATTAAACAGAAAAATATATTTCCTGAGTTCCTCTTATATATGTGAGGCATATACAAAGCAATTGGGTAGAGTTTTATTAATTTTCATTGGCAGTCTAGAATAGATTTACTCTCCTGTATACTTGCAGACTCTCAGTACTTTTTTCTCCTTTTTATTAATCTTAGTGAGATGATGTTTTTAAGCTTACCTTGGCACTTCTATCTTTGAAAAGCTTAAAATCTAGGTTGGATAATAGGAAATTGGCATTTGTCCCTAATGCTTAATTTACATATTTCTGAATTTTAAAATAAATCTGTGCTCTTTACTATGTTATGGAATGAGCAAGATATCTTGGTATTTATTGTGTTCCCCAGTACATTTTAAACAGAATTCAATTGAATTACTTATTAAACAAAGTTGCCAGCTAAGTGCTATGAACTATTCACATATGTATGTATGTGGAAGTCACTCAGTCATGTCCATCTCTGTGACTCCATGGACTATGCAATCCATGGAATTTTCCAGGCCAGAATACTGGAGTGAGTAGCCTTTCCCTTCTCTGGGGATCTTCCCAACCCAGGAATCGAACCCAGGTCTCCCACATTGCCATCTATATGTCTTCGTTGGAGAAATATATGTTTGGTTCTTTTCTCCACTTTTTGATTGTATTGTGCATTTTTCTGTTATTGAGCTGCATGGACTGCTTGTATATTTTGGAGATTAATTGTTTGTCAGTTTTTACATTTTCTATTATTTTCTCCCATTCTGAAGGCTGCCTTTTCACCTTGCTTATAGTTTCCTTCGTTGCCCAAAAGCTTTTAAGTTTAGTTAGGTCCCATTTGTTTATTTATTTACTTTCTGTTTCCATTACTCTGGGAGGTGTGTCATAAAGGATCTTGCTGTGATTTATGTCAGAGAGTGTTCTGCCTATGTTTTCTTCTATGAGTTTTATAATTTCTGGCCTTACATTTAGATCTTTAATCCATTTTGAGTTTATTTTTGTGTATGATGTTAGAAAGTGTTCTAGTTTCATTCTTTTACACAGGGTTGACCAGTTTTCCCTGCACCACTTGTTAAAGAGATTGTCTTTTCTCCATTGTATATTTTTGCCTCCTTCGTCAAAGATGAGGTGTCCATAGGTGCATGGATTTATCTCCTGGCTTTCTATTTTGTTTCATTGATCTATATTTCTGTCTTTGTTCAATTACCATACTGTCTTGATGACTGTAGCTTTGTAGTATAGTTTGAAGTCAGGCAGATTGATTCCTCCAGTTCCATTCTTCTTTCTCAAGATTACTTTGGCTATTCGAGGTTTTTTGTATTTCTATACAAATTGTGAAATTATTTGTTCTAGTTCTGTGAAAAATACTGTTGATAGCTTGATAGGGATTGCATTGAATCTATAGATTGCTTTGGGTAGTATAGCCATTTTGACAATATTGATTCTTCCAATCCACGAACATGGTGTATTTCTCCATCCTTTCATGTCCTCTTTGATTTTTTTCATCAGTGTTTCATAGTTTTCTATATACAGGTCTTTTGTTTCTTTAAGTAAATTTATTACTATGCATTTTATAATTTTCATTTCCATGGTGAGTGGGATTATTTCCTTAATTTTTCTTTCTGTTTTTTCATTGTTAGTGTATAGGAATACAAGGGTTTTTTGTGTATTAATTTTATATCCTGCAACTTTACTACATTCTTTGATTAGCTGTAGTAATTTTCTGGTGGTATTGTTAGTGTTTCCTGTGTAGAAGTGTAGCCTCCAACTAATAAAAATAAATGAAAAAAAAAAAAAGAAGTGACAAAGAAGGACACTACATAGTGATCACAGGATCAATCCCAGAAGATATAATGATTGTAAGTATATATGCAGCCAACATAGAATCACCACAATATGTAAGGGAAATGCTAACATGTATGAAAGGCAATGCTAGCAGTAACACACTAATAGTGGGGGACTCTAATACCCCACTCAGACCTGTGGATAGATCAACAAAACAGAAAATTAGCATGGAAACAGACCTTTAAATGATACAATGGACCAGTTAGGTCTAATTGATATATACAGGGCATTTCACCCAAAAACAATGGATTTCTCCTTTTTCTCAAGTGCACATGGAACATTCTCCAGGATAGATCATGTCCTGGGCCATGAATTTACCCTTGGTAAATTGTAAAAAAAAAAAAATGAAATCATTTCAAGCATCTTTTCTGATCACAGAATGGTAAGATCATATCAACTATAGGAAAAAAAAATATAAAAATAAACAAACATATGGAGGCTAGACAACATGCTTCTTAATAACAGGTGATGGAAGAAATAAAAAAGGAAATAAAAATATGCATAGAAACAAATGATAATGAAACACGACAACCTAAAACCTATGGGATTTAGTAAAAGCAGTGCTAAGAGGGAGATTCTTAGCAATACAGGCCTACCTCAAGAAACAACAGAAACATCAAATAAACAACCGACCTTTTATACCTAAAGCAGCTAGAAAAAGAAGAACAGAAAAACCCCAAAGTTAATAGAAGGAAAGAAATCATGAAAATCAGAGCAGAAATAACTGAAAAAGAAATGAAGGAGGCTATAGGAAAAATCAACAAACTAAAAACTGGTTCTTTGAGAAGATAAATAAAATAGGCAAACCATTAGCCAGACTCAACAAGAAAAAACAGGAGAAGAGTCAAATCAATAAAATTATAAATGAAAATGGAGAAATCACAACAGACAGACAACACAGAAATACAGAGGATCATAAGAGACTAGTGTGAACAATCATATGCCAGTAAAATGGACAACTTGGAAGAAATGGACAAATTCTTAGAAAAGTATAACCTTCCAAAACTGAGCCAGGAAGAAATAGAAAATCTTAACAGACCCATAACAAGCATGGACATTGAAACTTTAATAAAAAATCTTCCAACAACCAAAAGCCCAGGACCAGATGGCTTCACAGGTAAATTCTACCAAAATTTTAGACAAGAGCTAACACCAATCTTAAACTCTGCCAGAAAATTGCAGAGGAAGGCAAACTCCCAAGCTCATTCTATGAGGCCACCAGCACCCTATTACCAAAACCAGACAAAGATGCCACAAAAAACCAAAACTACAGGCCAATATCACTGATGAACATAGATGCAAAAATCTTCAACAAAATTCTTGGAAACAGAGTCCAGCAACATATTAAAAAGATCATACATCATGGCCAAGTGGGCTTTATTCCAGGGATGCAAGGATTCTTCAATATTTGCAAATCAATCAATGTGATTCATCATATTAACAAATTGAATGATTAAAAACCATATGATTATCTCAACAGATGCAGAGAAAGACTTTGACAAAATTCAACACCCATTTATGATAAAAAAAAAAGTCTCCAGAAATCAGACATAAAAGGAACATACCTAAGAGTA